AGTCTTATATTTTTGTTTGTGTGTGTTGTTTGTTGGTTTTTCATTCCCTGGCCCCTCTGCCTTCTGACCAAATCCACATTGATTCTCCAGCCACCTTCCTTACCTATTCTGGTTTTTACCTGGTTTTTCTCTCTCCATCTCTTTTCTCTAGCATATAAGATAAATCCTAATCTAAACTCACTGCCATCAAGTCGATTCTGACTCATAGCGACCCCCATTGGGTTTCCGAGGTGGTAAATCTTTATGGAAATAGATTTCCCCCATCTTCCTTCTGCATAGCAGCTGGTAGGTTTGAACCACCAACCTTCTGGTTAGCAGTCAAATGCCTTAGGCACTACACCACCTGAGCTAATAGGACCTATTGGGTTGTTTATAAATTTGTAACCTGAACTTACATTTATTTTTAGAGAACTTTACTTTTCCCTTAAACTGAGCATAGGTGTTGAACTATTGCACATACACAGGAGGGTAGACTAGGATGAATTTAGAGAAACCAGAAGTTGCAAGGGAAATATTGGAACCCAGGGGCATGGTCTTTGAAGGGAGAAATCTCCCTCCACCCCCACTTTGCCTTGGAAGGGGAGCCTTAAGAGATGAGAACTCAAAGTTTATGTGACATGAGATGAGAGGCCATTTCCTGTTCAGGTGTACCTCTTTTTAACATCCTACAAACAAGAGGGCAGGCCTGGGAGTAAATGGTCTCTCTGTACATAAAATTGAATACAAGGCAATAGTTACTTTATACAATTCATAGGGCTTCCTATTCCCCTCAGTAACTGGATGATATTCTTTATCTTGAAAGTAAGCTTCAAGCTGGATTTGGACTACTCTGGCTTTGGATGTAATCATAACCATTTAAAAATATATCTTCCCCTTCATCCAAGAGCCCTACTCTAGCCTTTGGGTTTGTTGTTGATGGTAGTTGTTGGTGGTGGTGGGGGCAGGTGTTGTATGTTTTAAATGAACGATACTTTTAAAGAAATGACAAGACTAGCAGATGAGCTTTTAATTTAATGTTTATTGTTGTTCAACATATAAATAGGTCTGTGGGAGAAAGATGAAACAATCTGCTTCCATAAAGATTTACAGCCTTGGAAACCCTATGGTTTCTGTTCTATAGGGTCACTAGGAGTCAAAATCAACTCAATGATGGTTTCTTTTTTGTTTACTGTGTAAGTCAAAGGAATCCTGGTAGTGTAATGGTTAAGCACTCACCTGATAACCAAAAGGTTGGTGGCTCAAACCCACCCAGTGGCTCCACGAGAGGAAAACTTGGCAATCAATCTGCTTCTATAAAGATTACAGCCAAGCCAGCCTATGGGGAAGCTGTGCTCTATCACACGGGGTCACTGTGAGTCAGAAGCAACTCGCTGGCACCCAACAACAATAACCGTAGGTCAAGTACTACACTAAGGACTAAATTTGCATGATCTAGTTTAATCCTCACACCCCTGTGAGGTAAGTACTATTTTTATACTCAGAGATGTTATGAAACTTTCCCAGCGTCACACAACTAGTAAGTAGTAGAGCCTAGGTTCTGAACTCAGGGCTGTCTGACTCCAAAGCCCTAACTATTGTGCAAAACTTTTCTTGCACAGATTTAGTAATGAACCCCAGAAGCCCCCATCTTTCCAGTGAAGCAGAGCAGCAGGAAAACCCCTCTGAACTGTCAGTTAGACTCATTTTCAGAAACCAGATAGTGTTAAGACTCTGTTTATAACTTATAATAGCATTTCATAAGTTATTTTAAGAGTATAGTTTTCAAGTCTCCAGATTGCCTCAGAGGAAAACACATCTATAAGGCCTCTGCCCAAGTAGTGATTATTTGTAACTGATGCTGTTTGGAAATGTTTCCATTCTACCATTTTGCTGAACACAGATTTAGAAAACCACAACAATTCAGTAAGATGGTGTGATTAGCAAACCCTTCCGTTTTGTTTCTGTGCATTCTTCCAACGATTTGGCTTTAAGACTCATTTATTAGCAAAACCATTTAGGAACTTGTTCTCTTGCCACTGGAGAGTGGAAATGTTTTCTTCATCTACTCTTGCCATCGTAAGTGGAAATAAGCGTGGATATCTTTTGCGGTAAATCTGTAGTTTGGTTTTAGGCTTTGCAGGATGTCATTTCATCAGTTTTAGACAATAAGACCATCATCTCAGTAGAAGTTTCCATTACAAGAGAAGTACAATAATAATAAAATTGAAAAAAATAATTTCAATATTTTATGCCATATGAATTTCTAGAGAAGGTGTGCAGCACATGATGACATGTTGGCATGGGAGGTGTTCAGTCAATATCTCTCTCTCTGATTACAGTTGCCATATCGTTGGAGTTTTTTACTCATGTTAACCAAGGCATCTTTTCAAAGAATCTCATAAAAATTAGGGTTTACATATTTATATACCATATATTTTATAATAATTTTATTGGAACAGACAGATACATCATTTGGATCATTGGTAAGGAACACACTGACACTGCTATCAAGTCATTTCCAACTCATAGTGACCCTAGAAGATAGAACTGTGCACTAGGGTTTCCAAGGCTACAAATCTTTACAGAAGCAGTCTCATCTTTCTGCTGCAGAGTGGCTGTTGTGTTAGAACAAAACCGCCAGCCTTTTTGTTTAGTGGACCGATGGTTTAACCACAGCACCACCAGAATTCCTTATTGGTAAGGAAAGCACATTATTTTCAAGCCTTTACAACATCAGTATCAGTTTTTTTTTTTTTTTTTAATAATAATAGTAATAACCATCTTTTGTTTTTAAGAAGTTCTGGTGGCATAGTGGATAAGGAATTTAGCTGCTACCCAGAAGGTTGGAGGTTCAAATCCACCAGCCACTCCGCAGAAGGAAGGTAGGGTGATCTACTTCTGTAAAGATTTACGGCCTCGGAATCCCAGCGGGGGTTGCTGTGAGTCAGAATTGACCGGATGACAGTGAGTTGGGTTTTGGTTTCGGTGTCTTTTCACACAAACTCTTTGCAATTAAATACAAATTAATTAATTAAATGAAACAAAGATCAGAAGAAGTGATGAAGCATTGAAGTATGTCCCAATGTGCAATGTGGTTTAGTGTACTGTTCTTAAAACTGATTGGCACATGTGGCATGTACGAACTCATTAACCAATACATTATCATTCTGAAGGAGACAATAACAGCAGCAATGGCTACCATTTATCGAATATTTACTATGAGGCAGACACTATGTTAAAAATCCACTGCCATCGAGTTGATTTCAACTCATAGTGCCCCACACTGGGTTTCTGCGGGGATAAATCTGTATGAAAGTAGCTTGATCCATCTTCCTTTTGCTGAGTGGCTGGTGTGTTTGAACCGTCAATCTTCTGGTTAGTGGTCAAATGCCTTAGGCACTGTGCCCCCAGAGTTCCTTGACACTATGTTAGTAGGTACCTGATATTTATTATTTCATTCATTCTCATATCAGTTCTATGAGATGGATGTTATTTTACCTATGAACAAAACAAGCACAAAAGTACAAGTAGTTTTTCCAAGGTACACAGAGGCAGAATTTGAACCGAGTTTTATTGACCTCCCAAGCTCATACCCTATATCATAAAGAGAGAAATGAACACAATTCCTTGTTCATACTCCTGAATATGAATCATTGTCTATTAGAAGAACAATTGGTTTGACCATTTCTTAATTAAAAATCTGTCCTATGTGACTCTCACAGTCTAGTTGGAAAGTAGCAATACCAAAGAATACAGGGTGATAAGATTAGCAAACTCAGGAGAATGGCACAATATCTGATCATCACTGAAGAGTGGCTGGAGACTCACAAGCCTACTTGACAGAGATCCTGGAAAAGTTGCCTCCATTGATAGATCTGACCTTGCCATCCTGCTATATCCTCTCTGAACTTGATATGGCTGCCATTGGTACAGGATTTATAATGTATCACTGGTTCATCCAAGAGACAGTGACAGAGGTGTGGCTACAATGCTGGACAATAAGGAATAGAGATGATTTCCATTTCTTTTCAAATCAAGGTGGCAAAAAAACCATAGCTGACCCTTGAATTGTGCCTTAATGCCTACTGCCCTTTTCAGAAGGGAACTTTCCTCTGAGTGACCAGTGTGCTCATAGTTCCATGATGGGAACACTCAAAGGTTGGAAAATGACTGTGGGCTTAATCATGTTGCAATTTTCCAGGAAAGAATCTGTATTTTATTCTTCCTTTAGGTTTCCAAACAATAAAGGCTTAAAGTGAATAAAAAATTTTAAGGGAAAAAAACAGTTTCTTGATGACCACGCATGAAAATATTGTGTGGCAGTGGCTCAAGTGAATTATGTAGTTTTAGTGTCTTTGTTAGGAATTTCAGCATTATGAACTTTATTTTGAGAGGTAGGATAATGTTCATTTTTGTTTTACACGCACAGTAAGACTTCTGGAATTCATTTTGTTAAAATTCAACTAATTTAAAAGAAGCATGTTAAGAAAGATGAATCTTATTCCTATTTTAAGAAACTGGAAATATAACTCTGACTTTTGAGATAACAGGGGTAAAAGTCACGGGCATCCAAATTTTAAATTATTACTTTCAGTCAGCACCGGTACTATCTTAGTCTGTGCATATAGTTTAAAAAAGTTAATGTCTGGTAATATATATGTGTGTGTGTGTGTATATATATCTCAATTCTCTAATTAGCTTTCTGTTATTGAGTTAATATAACAATAGCTCTCAGTGGCCATTTACTTAGCATTTAGAAAGAATTGATTAGCAGTTTAAGCTCAGGGGGTAAAAAATAGCCTGCTTAGCTCAGTTTTCTGTGTTTTAAATGACCAACAGAGCTTACCAAATATTCTGGCCTACAGATAAAGTTGCTGAAAGTCAGAGCAGGGGTTTTACTACCTGTGTACTTATCAGCCTTCCCCCGTAAACCACAGTCTGTGTCTTGATAGCTCTAATAATTAATTTATCCTTCTCTCTCTTTTTCTCCCTTCCCCCACCTTCTCCCTGTCTGTTCACAGGTTATCTTGACGAATCAGATTACAACCCATCTGAGCAGAGCCCTCACTTCTCAGGCAGACCTGGTGTCTCCAGCTGATGATTTGTCCCTGTCTGAAGGTAAGAGATCTGTCCTACAGAGGCTGAAACTTGACACTGACATACAGCCCCACTGCCTCTCTACCTCCTGTTGAGAGCTGGGAGACATGGCTAATAGGCTTTGGCCAGTGAACCCAGCTGGAGCCTGTGATTTAGGCTTGGCCACCTTTTCCGGTATCTGATCCCTTATATTTGGAGACTCTCTTGCCCTGCCTCGCTAAGTGAGCTCCCCTTTTCACTTGAGTGAGTCCTCAGAGACATCCATCATCTCAGTTTTGAGGCTCATCACTGCCTCTGGGTTGTTTTAGAGCCTCAGTACGAGGCAGGTGAACTGCTACATAACTTTATCTTTGAAACTGATGCTCAAATGTTGGCTTTACCAACATTCACATCATAACTGAGCCTTTTGTCTGTGGATACCTCTGGACTAGCTAAAAGTATACACCAACTATTATGTGCTGGAGATACTGCATTCCTGATCAGCTTTACAGAAAGATTCAAAAAAATCTCCATGTTGGTAAATCTGCACTTCATCGAGGAGAATATTCAGGTGGTCAGCTAATTCATGAAATGTAGAGAGATGTAGATCAAAACACAATGAGATATACCGTCTCACCCCAGCACTGATGGCAAGGTTCAACAAGACAGAAAATAACAAATGCTGATGGGGATGTGCAGAGATTGGGACTCTCATACACTGCTTGTGTGACTGTGAAGTGACACAACCACTGTGGAAAGCAATATGGCGATTCCTTAGAAAGTTGGAATTGGAGATACCATTTGACCCAGCAATCCCATTACTAGGTATATGCCCTAGAGAGGTGAGAGCCAGGATAGGAACAGATACATGCATGCTCATGTTCATCACAGCACTATTTACAATAGCAAGTAGATGGAAATAACCTATGTGCCCATCAGTGTAAGAGTGGATGACCAAACTCTGGTACATACACATACTGGAATGCTATGCAGTGCTAAAGAATAATGTAGCGTCTGAAAAACACCACATAATATGGATGAACTTGGAGGATATTATGCTGAGTGAAATAAGTCAATCACAGAAGGATAAATATAGTATTAGTTCGTTGTTGTGGAGGATCAAAGAAAGGTTTATATATGGAGGGAAACTTTCTTTGTTGTTTGCCAGAGGTGTGAGGGCAGGGGAGGGAATACTGAAAAAAAAAATGCATTGACCCATATCACTTTAGTTTTGTGTATTTCACTGTACATAAATTATATTTCAATAAAATGCATTAAAAAGAAGAAAAGAAAAGAAATTGCAAGGACCATTTATTTCCCTACTTCCTGGTGGTGTCTTTCAAGTAAAAATTACGTACCTATTTATAAAAACTCTAAGATGCTCTGTACCGTGCTTTCACACATAGTAACACATTATCCTTCCTCTCATTCAAAACCCAAAACCAAACCCAGTACCCTTGAATCAATTCTGACTCATGGCGACTCTATAGGACAAGAATGGAACTGTCCCACAGGGTTTCTAAGGCTGTAAATCTTTATAGAAGCAGACTCCCACATCTGTCTCCTGTGGAGTGGCTGGTAGGTTCAAACCACCCACCTTTTGGTTTGGATCCGAGCGCCTTAACCATTGTGCCACCAATGATTTTTAATTACCTGGGCTGAAAACCTGAATTATCTCATATTCCTCCCTCCATACACTTCCTTAGTTATCAAAGTTTGCTTGGTTCTTCTTTCTGAATATATCTTTCTTCTGCCCCCTCTTTTTTGTAATCTATATTGGGATCAGCTGACTTATTAAACTCACAATTGGATTATTTTAATAAACTCTGAAACGGCCATCCCAACTCTAGCCTCTGCCCTCTTCAGTCCACCACTACCAAATAGAATTTCCTTCTACATGTTACTCTCCTGCTCAGAAACTTGGAAATTGGTTTTTCTGAGAATGGGCTAAAATCAGTAGACCAATTACTGGGGTTTGCTAGCTTGAAATCAGCCATGGTGGGAATAGTTAACACTATGAAATCAATAAAAGCTAAAGATCAGGGGAATTTTTTTGTTTTGGTAGGCCAAGTTACTAAAGCATCACTGGATAAAGTTAATGCTTTACCCTTCATGGTCTGTTCTTTCCCTCCTCTTCAGCCTTGTGTGAAGCCCTATGCCAAGAGTGCTATTGCCCTTCCTCCTGCCCCTCCTCACTCCTGCCTTCAGGCCTCCACAGAGACAGCTCATCCTGTCTTGAACAGCATTGCCCTTTTTTGCGTCAACCTCTTTTTTTCTGCCCAGATCCTTCGGGTTCTACTGAAGGAGCAGCTCTTCCCTGAACCCTCCTTGCCTGTTCTGCTCCACATTTGTGTCACTCACTCTTCCTCGTCTGTGGGCTTTCCACCTACTCAGTCAGCTGTAGAGATAAAAGTTCTGGAAAAAGTAACTTTTCATGTTTTCCCAACTGGATTCCTAGCTTTTTAAGGACAAAGACTGTGTCTTATTCCACTTGTATCCACTTTCTGTCCCTATGACTAACAAAGTTCTAGGCATATAACAGGCAGTAAACAAATGCTGAATGAATACCATTATAAATACTTTGGGAGATCAATACCATGAGAATCACATAAAGCACCTAGGAATGTCATTAAAAATTATGTTAGAATTATTTCAGATACACACATACAGAAGTGTATTTATTCAGCTCTGAGGAGGAGACCAGAAGAGAGTATTTTCTTTCCTTATTTGAAAACTACCCACAGCCATTTAGTTGATCCTGACTCATAGTAACACTACAGGACAGAATAGAACTGCCCTGATGGGTTTCCAAGGCTAAATCTTGAGGGAAACAGATTGCCTCATCTTTCTCCTACGGAGCCACTGGTGAGTTTGAACTACTGACCTTTTCGTTAGCAGCCCAGTGCGTTACCCCCTGCACAACCAGAACTCCTTATTTAAAAACTAGTACATAATGATTTTTCTCTTTCCTGGCTTCCTGGTTTATCTTAACCAGAGAATAGGAGAAAAAAAAAAAAAAAAGGCAATCTCTTTGAGACTCCAGTGTGACTGCTACAAGAAAATGATAAAGTCATGTTCATAAGGAATGGAAAAGTTACCAACTCATCCTAAGACAACTTCTCCTTATTATAAATCCAAGGGAGAATAGAAACAACAGGTTTTTCTAGATCTTTTCTTTATCTACATGAGCAGGTAGAGACTGTAGAAATATATTTTCCTAAAGTCTATAAGGGAGCTCTGGTAGCATAGTGGCTAAAGCACTTGACTGCTAACCAGAAGGCTGGCGGTTCAAACCCACCAGCCACTCCTCGGAAGGAAGGTTGGGCAATCCTACTTCCGTAGTGATACTGCCTCGGAAACCCAAGGAGGGGTCACTATGAGTTGGGGCCGACTCGACGGCACGTAACAACAACAACAACAAAAGTCTATAAGGAAGAGCCCTACCAAAAAATGAAAATGAGCAAGTGTTTTAGAACACTTATATTTATTCAAATATATTGCAATGGTTGTTAATGTTACTATGGTGAATATCTGTAAATCGCTTTGTTGTTTCAAGCATTTTTGTTACAGCTTTGCCATTGTGTTATTAGCTCTGTGGTCTTGGGCAGGTCATTTCGTCACCATGTGCCTCAGTTTATTCTTTTGTTAAATGCTAGATTGGATGAATAAAAGAGTGCTAAAGACTCTTCAAAAAGAGCTGTGGTGGCACAGAGGTTAAAGCACTAGGATGCTAATCGAAAGGTTGATTGTTCAAACCCACCAGCTGCTCCATGGGAGAAAGATGTGTTTGCTTCAGTAAAGATTTATAGCCTTGGAAATCCTATGGGGCAGTTCTGCTCTGTTCTGTAGGGTTGCTATGAGTTGGAATCAACTAGATGACGATGGGTTTGCTTTTGTTTTTTTAAGTCTATTCCAGCTCTAACATTATAAGATCATACAGTAGAACTGAAGATCAGAAACATTTACTCATTGATGGGGTTTTAATTCTGATATACAGAAGGGAGAATGACCTTGGAACTGGTATTTCCATAGATAAAACATAATAAAAAAGATCTTCAGAAATTTTAGCATTGATGTTTTGGAGTACCTATAATAGCTTCCCCTCCAGGTATTGCTGTCTCTTTCTCACTCTGTATACACTTCTAATCTTGTCTGTCTATTGCTCTCTCTCTGCCTCTGTCCCACACAAGCATGTGGACAATAAGAAGTATGTGTACACCAGTGAGAGTGAGAAACAAAGATGAGGTGAGCTCAAGGCCCAGCCTGTCCTGTAATAGATTTCAGCTGCTGAGCATAAGGTAGTGCTTAAACAGTGCTCCCTTGAAAAACAGTTGTAGGGTAAGAACAAGAGGCCAAGAGCAGCCAGCAATGAAATGATCTGAGCTGACCTGAGAGGAGTACCCAGCAGGGGCTGATTCAAGGAATGAAGCTCCTTCTGCCCTGACTCAGAGGAGGGAATACAAGTGACTGGGCCCAACTGAGAGATCTCTTCCACCCCAACGGATCCTGTACTATTAATATCTGCCAGCTGCAGGGCCAGAGCATCCCCCTGCTGAGATCAAAAGAGCTCCTATCTTAGTTGGAACAAGGTCATCTGCACAGGGCTATAAAAGGGAGCCCTGGCTGGCTATAGGGATGTCTATGGGGGAGGAGAAGTCAGGAGATGGGGAGGTGCTCTCTCACGCTCCTTTAATCTTGGCTGACCAGCTGTTGCCCTCCCAGTGTTTGTAAAGTTGAGAGTTCTTTGTTTTTGTATTGCTGCGATCTTATGTGTTTTTTTTTTTTTTTTTTTCCTTATTAAATTTGTGACTGGGTTGTTGCTTGGATTAAGTAGGTCCACGTTCACCACTTGGGTCCATGGTCTGATTCTCTGCATTGAAGTTCTTTCCACTGTTGAACTAGCCTGCTCTAAAGTGGGAGGGAGGACCTCTGATGGTACAGTGGTGAAAGCATTCAGCTGCTAATCATAAGGTGGGTGGTTTGAACCAACCAGCTATCCACAGGAGAGAGATAAAACAGTCTGCTTCCATAAAGATATACAG